GGCCGTTCGTGCGTGCAGCAAAAGGTGGTAAATTGCCCGCTAGGGACATTCTCTGCTCCCACGTTGGCGGCGCACACAGTTCTCAAGCCGCCTCGTTCGCTCCCCTCATGTAGCTTGTCCAAAGCGGGGATGTCGGAGGTTCGTCGTGCCACAGTGAATTTCTTTGCGGATAAGCTCCATTGCCCTTCTCGTCGGTTGATTCGGGTGATTCGAAATATCGGATGAAGCGTCTTTGGCGCGGTGCGACGTCTTGTGTGCGGATTGGTGGGTGATGGTGGAATGGATGGGGCTGTTTTCGTCCGCCCTCGTAAGCAGCCGGCAGCCCCTCGCCGTTTTTTAATGGCAGACTGCGCTGCGAGTAATTCCTCTGGCTGCGCTGCGCACGTTGCGTGTAGATGCGTCGTGTCCATAAATACGACACAACTGACATCGCAACAATCGTTGTTTTTGTTGGTTCACTCGCCGCTCCACAAGAGGCTGGGTTGCCCTCGCGAAGATGTCAGCCTCGTGAACGGCCATGTGAAGGCGGGCACGAAGTGTGGAGGGCGGGATATGCTGGGGTCGGTTGTTATCGCGATCAGCGTCCGGAAGGTCTGCGGCAGGGCCCTGCCAAAAATCCATGAGCTGATCGGTGGGCTCCCGATCCATCTCCAGTGCGCGTCTGCACGACACCAAACCGTCGATGGCCGTTTGAACCTGAGAGCCCACTTAGTGCAAACAATAACCGTATGTGCATCGGAGGTCGACGAGGACTCCGGAGACGACGTCATTCCATACACGCGGGGCCCAAGTGTCAACGTCCAATGCAAGGAAATGCAGTACCTGATCCTCTGCACCGGAGCCATCTTCCAAGGGGAAGGTGCGGGAAGGCAAAGGCATAGAGTGAGGGAGATGTGGTCGCCCAAAATTGCCCTGAGACGTATGGGTGTTGACCCGCCGTCTCTCTCCCGTGAGATTGCGTTGGGGAAACGTGGATGCTGGCACGCCCCCAGCCATCAAACGATGCCGTTGGTGCGGCTGTGTGTTTACACCGTCTGGCGGCCCTCTCCGAGAGGTGGGCGCCTCGCGTTGACACGGCGTCTCCGCGTCCCGCAAGAAGACCGCCGGCCACCACAGTGTGAGATCCGCGTGCCAACAAGTGATTATGCGCTTCTTCCACCTGAGAGTAAAGCTGAGCACTCCGATCCGCAACGTCCGCGACGGCACTGGCGTAGTCGGTGCTCAGTCTCTGCCCTCCAGCAATGATCAGCCCCTGCTGGACCCCCAACTCCCGGGCAGCACACACACGACGGGCAGCAGCACTCGAACCCCGAAATTAGATACTTGAGGCGCCCGGCGATTCGCAAAGTGCCCGCAACGGTCGGCTCCTCCCAGTGCATGGCGATGTCTCCTGAAACCAAGCGTAAGCCTGTCATTGTTGCGGCGGCGGCTACCACCGCATCCAACGGCCCGTGTTCATCAACGAAGGCGAGCTGCACCCGTACATCGCCATGCTGGCGTGCCGAGTCCAACATGCGGGCACCAATGTCGCTCCTCCCCGTCGCCGTGTAAAAGAAAACACTGCCATTCCTTCAATCAAATTGACTGTAATTAATAATAGTAAATAAAAAGTTGTCTTATTGCTATCGACTCCCTGATCCGCTAAGGTCGTAGTCTTCCCGAAATTCATAATATACAAAAAATGCTTACAGAAATATATTCGTCATGGTAAGAGATATATTAATTTGGCGAACCAGATTTCCTCGCAAACATCTTTTCCATATGCCCCTAGAGAGTAAAGAAGAAAAAACAAACAAACAAACAAAAAGAACCGGCCGATATTTCTGTGGAAAATGTACTCAACATTATGTGGCAAGAAAAAAGCAGTACCCTCTAAAGGCACCGCTAAGAAAGCGGCAAATAATCGTAAATGAAAATATTTATCCAACCACACCAAAAGACTTGGATTATATATATACGCATGTTTCAATCTAAAAAATAAAATAAAATAAAACAATAGAACAAAAAGTTGCTGCTGCTCAAACAATCATCGCATAGCGGATCTCAGAATGATACGCATAAGAGCACGTGATGTCGTGTGAAAAGCGCCATTTGCGCCCAAACAGGCACGTGTGGGTTGATAAACAGAGGCCTCAAAAAACTGCGGGAAACGCGATGTCATGTGTGTAGATAACCAACCCGGATTCCGCTCTTCAACCGACTCCATCTTAGACCACGTGGAGGGAAGAACGGCCAACGTCCGTGTCTCATCGACGGGGTGAAGCTCGATATTTTGTAACGATAGTGCCGTGAAGCAGGAGTCGATGTGATGAAGCTTCACACGCTTCTCATGTCGCAGCTCCAATACACCGCTCTCTGGAAGATATTCATCCTCATCGGGGGCACCAAGATTGAGAGCGAAAAGTGAGCGGAAAACAGCCACGCGATTCACAACACACTCCGGAGCAGTCGCCACGTCATAACCTCCCATCTCTGCAAGAAGATTAAGCAACAGCGTCCCTGTCAAAAGAGCATCGTACCCGGCTTCATGGGTAGGACCGCCAGCATTCACACCGGAACTGTGATGACGTTCACCGCCTCCAACCGCAAGGGGATCGTAGGATTCAAAACCCAGCGGAAGCGTCACATGCGCATTTGCGGAACGAAATCCATACTCTCCAAATAAACCGCTCAAGTAACGGGCTCCAAATCGCTCCAATGGGAAAAACTGCTGACGGCTTGCAATGTATTTCGTGTCAAAGACAATGGGAAATAATTCGTTCATACGGCGTTTAAATTTGGGCAGTGAGTCTGGTAATGGACCATCCAGACTCGCAAGCAAAAAGAGGAGGTCCGCAAGGCAGTTGTGACCAACGCAGGGTTTTCGGCTCTCAACAAGCGCATTAAATACTAGGCGAAATCCCAACATGTTCATCAGTTCTCCTTCTCGAAAAACCTGCTCCTTTTCACGTAATCGATTGCGCTCTTCAGGAAAAACTGCCCGCAGCATTCCCATATGCACCGCACCTTGTCGTCGAAATGTGAGTAAAAGATTGTGAAAATGCTGCTCTACATGCCGCTCAAGTGCCTCGCGGGCACTTTTACTTCGCTGAGGTGGAAGAAACACTTCTCGTCCGCCGGACTGAATGAGATCCAATGCTGCAGAAACTTCTGCCATTCCTGCCGTCTGCCCGGCATTCTTTACCTTTGCCTGTTCCAACGTTGCTTGGATCCGTTCAGAGAAGGTCTTTGCCAATGTCACGGCGTTATCGTACCATTTCTTCTCCTCTTCCGTCAAGAGACTTACTCCCTCTACTTCTTGATTGCCTTCGTTACGAATGCTGTCGAGCTCCCGATACTTTTCCTCATGTCTTTGACGCAATGCCTCCTCTTGATTTGCGTCACAGTACGCCATGCCCTGATACACCCACGACTGGAAGTTCATATCGTGTCGGCGAAGAAACGCGAGGGACGATGGGCTTAAAACCACATCCCTGGATCGTTCATTGGCGTTAAATTCATCGGAGTTGTGAGGAAAGAGAACAAAGTTAAAGGGCCGAGCGACATAATGTGCCGGAGTGGAGTCTGCCGCCGTGTTCTCCCTGTGAAATAAACATATTCCAACTTGAATGATGTTATAACGACTGGCGACTGTACGCTTGGCGCGGTAACTCTCCTCGGGGGTATCTGTGATGGATTCTGGCAATTCTGCCGTGCTGATTCCCGTCATCTCCTCATCAAAGGCGTAAAAGTCGCAACTTTTCAGGAGCTCCACAAACTTGGGAAGTACGGCGGGAAACTTATCCCGAGTGACCTGCATGGCGGTGCGAAGGGAAACAAGAGAAACTTCAATAATAAAGAGATCCTTTGGCCCTGCTCTGAAGGTGCTTCTTGTCAACAGGCACGGTTGATGCTATTTTGACCAGTGATGGCGGTATCCGTCTAGAATGGGGCTTCTGTCTCGTATTGAAGGCTCTGTTGTATCCTTCTTCAGAAGTTGTTAATGGACGACTGCAAACGATCACGTGTTTCTACGACCGCAAACGTTTGGTGAAGTGCCCCGTCCTATTTCACCTTTTTTTTTTTTTTTTCCTTTTCTTAAAGAAAAAAAAAATATGTAATTATAAAAATAATACATGCAACACACCACACACATATAGAATATATATTTCCCATGCATACATGTATCGTACGGTGCGGCAAAGAAGAAGGGAAAAATCGGCCTTAAATGAAAATAAAATAAATAAATTTCTCATAACGCTCTTTAATGTACACACACTTTCTCTTTTTTCTAGCAATGCAAAGATGCGCTTTTTCAGGCACGTCGAAAAAATTTTTAGATGTGTGCGTGTGTGAGTGTAGGGAGTTCCCTTTTTTCCTTTCGAGCGCCATTGCAATCCACGAAGAACTGCACCATTTTCGCGTCTCGTAGGCCACACAAAACACTGCCATATGTTGGGGCCACTTCTCCCCTGCCATCTGCTGTCTTTTTTTTTTTTTGATGTTGCCTTCTCTTCTTTTGCGGGAATTCCATAAAAAAGAAGCCTCAATTCATCTCGGCAAAGATGCGGCGGCAGCCGTTGGCAATGAAATGGCACCGCGCAGGTGGACACATCTGCCATGCCCCTGTCCGTACGCGGACGTTGATGATTCCAGAGGAGCCGCATGCACGTTCCACGTTTCCCCCTTTCATCATTACATTCCTCCATACATTTGTGTTTGCCTCCGTGGACGTAATTTTCTTTTCGACAATCCAGTACACCTGTGCCGCTTAAAAATAATTCACGTGCTCTCTGTCGTCGCTTCTCAACATGTAGCCACTGTTCCCTTTTCCCACACTTTTCTCCCACGGCCCTTGCATTTTCCTCGAAAGAAACGACCTCAGAGAACTAAACAAGAGACCCAGATGCAGTTAGCATACAAATCCCATAAGCGCTGCTTTATTTTATGAATAGAGCAAATATTAATAATAATAATAATAATAATAATAATAACAAATAACAACAGCACACTCACACAAATAGAGAAATAAAAATAAAAATACAGAACAACTCTCTTCTTCAGCGTTACGGCAGACCCATTGACCAATGTACCGGATGGCGCAATTGAAGACTAGCGTATATGCCATCCCCATTTATGCTTCTGTTTGCTTCCTCACTGCAAGCCTTACTTGTGGGTGAAATAGCTTCGTAATACACATACACATGTGAGGTAAAAGTGAATGACATCAGTTGAAGCAGTTCTTCGCAAGAAATCTCATCTGTTGCTCCAGTAGCAACAGCGACTGGCTTTAATGACCCTACAGAAGTGGACGAGGTGGTGATGCGTTGAGAGGAAATGTGCATTGGACCAGAGGGAGAAGAAAGGACAGTCTTTATTTCCTCTTCAGCCACATCCTCCATATAACCCCTGAGAAACTTACCGTACACGCTTTCAAGTGAGTTTGGTTCAAAGAGGTAACACAAGTGGGGTAGCAGTTGAATGGCAAACTGGAAGTTCATAGACTCCTCTGGTTCCAGCATCACTGGAGCACAAAACTCATGCACCACAACTGGTGTTACCGTGACGACACGCCGCAGAAGTTCTATGTATTTCAAATCCCCACTCCGTGGTCCGGCCCTCTGCTCCGACCACAACGGGACGCTGGAAAGGCTCCCAAGACTATTCCCAATCCAGGTGGAAAAGATGTCAAAAAAGACCTGCTGTACACGCACAGAAATGCCAGCAATGTTCACCACATTGACATTCACCAAAACACGATACCGAGACACTCGTCGGGCTTCAGAGGAACAGCATAGCAGCTTACTTACGTGGGCCCGGTAGTAACATGTCCCCAGCACCACGTAAGAGGGACGATACCACGCCATTCTCTGATCCTCCACAGGAACAAGCGCGCGGAGGAGAACATCATCATTGAAATCATCATCCCCCTCTCTATCCGTACCACCCTTCCCACTACCATTGGGAAAAGAAAGCAGCAACACAAAACCCAATGTTAAGGGTCCATGAAAATCCTCAAGTTCTGGTAAGGCGTAGCTAAACGTGTATGTGCAATGGAGATGACTTGGTACAGCCCCTTTTAAATATGGTTTCGGCATCTCGGCTTTCAATACCTCCGCCGGAGCCACGACAGCCTCATCACACTGCTCCGCCGCCACGGTGAGGATTTTCCCTGCGGTAGCCATCACGCTCGACGCCAAAAATTGAGCATTTTTTTCAGCAGGGGCCCGATTCTCCCAAAACTGCGGGACTCCAAAGGAGAAGAAACACCCCACACCATGTTGCAATCCACTGGCTGTTGTCGCACGGGATTCCGGCTCTGGCAGGTTTTGTGTCTTGCCAGCTGACGACGACGCTGCAGACCCCAATATAACTGGCACGATGCGCACCGTGTGAAAGAGCTTCCGCCACATCAGGTGAAAGTCACTTTCTCCCATCGCCGCCATCAGAGCCGCCCCCTCACGGTCAAGCTCCCCATTCACATTAGAGAAGGCGATGGTGAGCCGAAAGCGCAGGGATTGCCATGACAACAGCAGGGGTGTGCCCTTTTCATCAAGAGGTTCAGAAAGTCGTGAAAACTCCACCACCAACACTCTGTGAAGAATATTCATTTCGTGAATCTGCTCCACAGTCAAAAGGAAAAAAAAAAAAGATGTTCACGTGCAAAAGAAAAATAATTCCTTTCTCTCTAGCAATCAACAACACCAACAGGCAACTCACTTTTTTAAATTTTTAAATATCTATGTCAACTGTGTCAGCGTTCTACTGAAAAAGGAAAATAATAAATAAATAAATAAATAAATAAATAAATAAATAAATATATACTATTGCCGCTGCAAGCGGTGTCACAAGGGGTCCAAATCCGTCTCAGAACGTTTCCACGTTGTTTTCTTCGTCTTCTTGTTGTAATAGTAGACTTTACCCGTGGAGGGGTCCTTCCGTTCGGCCCACTCCGTCGCGTTTTTCTCCTTTTTCTGCTGCAGGTCCGTCAAATCCGCGCTAAACGACCCACCATTCTCTTTGAGCGTGTCCTCCAGCTTCCACGTCGTGGCTTTGGTTTTCCTGTGGACATAGTATGTGCGACCGCTGTTGGGATCCGTCACCGCACGCCACTCGGCACCGCACGCTGGGATTTCCTTCACGCTCGCTTCCTGTGACACATCCTTGAATGTATCCTCAATCTTCCATGTGGTCTTTTTTGTCGCGATATGGACATAGTAGCTCTTACCACTTGCGGGGTCACGCACAGATTTCCACCCAGCTCCACATGTAGGTGCCTTTACCTCGACTTCCTTCGCTGCGCCCTCTTCCTGTTTCCTGCTTGCATCGTCACCTTGCACCTCCACCTGCGCCAATGATGGCTGCACATTGAAGGTCTCAAATGCCAAATTGGTATTACCAGATTTTTTGTCATCACTACCGCCACCGCCGTCTTCTTTCTTCACCTCCTCATCTATTCCCAGTGAGGAGGACGAAAGCAACGACGCCTTGGGAGCTCTGCCGAAAATACGCTTGTCGGCCAACGGCTTCGGTGCCATATTGTGCACGGAAGACAAGATACGAGACTCTATTTCAAGTGCTCTTTGTAGTTCATCCCGCAAACGGCACTGTGGTTCCGACTGTGCTTCAGTGGGCTCCAGAGTAGGCTTCTCCAGCTGCGATGGAACCGGTAACTTTTGCACCGACGTCTCAGCTGCTTCTTTTACAAGATTTGGAGTTACTGGAGTTGTTTGCTGCATAGATTGCTGCTGTTGCTGGGGAATAACAACTCGGGGAGGCTGCGGCGCTTCGTCAGATGATCCATCCATGGTGATTGGGCGCTGTGTCGTTGCGGCCACCAAATGTAGGGAATTTTCTGTATAATCTTGACGGGCTGCTGAGGACGATTGATCAGGCGCACAGTCGCCCTGTTGAATTTGCCGGAGATAATCCTGATGTTGGCGAAGAAACCGACGAGATGCATCCATTAGACTCATTTCACCGGATCCCTGCGCACTATTCATGTTATCATAGGTCTCTAAAGCACTGCGCAACTCATTTAAAAGTACTTCCTGCTCCACACGTGAAGGAAGGCTATGGGAAAACGAATACGCGTTCCGTTGTTGCCACGGCTCTGATTGGGTGATCATCGTACCGTTATGCTCTCCTACACGTGGGCCGGCTTCTGCCACTTGCCGCTCTGGAGTTCCGGCAGTCATACTCCATACACCCCGATTTAATTTCTGCTGCTGGCCAGACGGGTTATTACTAAACCGGATATCCTTATGATTTTGCCCATTCCTCGGCGGGGAGCTGTGAATACTTGAAATATACTCCTCTCGGCGTCGATCACGCTCCGCTAAAAGACTGTCAATGATTGATGCCGCCCTAATCGCCTCTCTTGAACTCCTCGGCATAAAAACTGCATCATGCGAGGGTTGTATTGCCTCTGGCACATTTTCCCCCCCTCTTTCTGAAAATTTCCCCTCCTTGTGGTTCGCCCTGACGTTTGGGGAACTCCCCATCGCCCTCAGCAGCCTGTTTCTATCTTCTAGCGGACCGCCGCGGGAATATGCACGGATGAGATGATTCATTGCTTCTCGAAAGCGCTGTTGCGCTTCACGTGTGCGGAATGTGACAAAAAACCCCTTCCGCGGCGGAAGTCCATCCTTTATGTTTGCAAATAGGGATGAGTATTCGTTCAGCGACAGCAGCTGCAGGCCTCTCTGCCGCCTCGAGTCGCCAAAGGCTGCCACAGGAACCTCCACGAACACCTCGTCCTTTGGCTCATGGAAGGGGACAAAGACGAGTAGTGGACCCCGTTCGCTGCGTCTTGCAGCCTCACGACGCCATGAAACACACGCGAGGGCCAAACACAACTCGGACGGCGCCTGAACGGAAGAAAGAAAGGCAATTTCTTCATCACCATCATATCGATTCATAACATCGCCTCCATTTCTATGGTCCCCGTTGGAGCGACGCAAATGCCGTTGCATGATGTCGATAAGAGGCACACACTCGCTGTAGAGTGATTCAAGTAGTGGGGAGGAAACAGCAACGTCCATCGTCTCACCTCCTTCTCACGTCTTTTTTTTTTTTGTGTGTGTGTGTGTGCGTTTGTGTGTGTATTTTGGATTCCCTCATCCACAGTGTGCACATCGCAAGAAAACGCAACAACAGCAAACCCAATAATACTACTAATAATAGAGACACACATGCATGGGCGTATTTCCCACTAGCAGGAAGTTACCACACCAAAAACAATGATGATGATAGTCCTCTCGGCTTACAGCGCAGAGAATAATAATAATAATAATAATTAAAACAAACAAACAAAAACAAAAACAAAAAAACAAAACAAATTTCTTTTCAATAGTAAACACACACACATCTATCCATCTATCTATCTATCTACCTGTGTATTTATTTATTGATGTTTGGGAGTGTGTGAATTTCCGACCCAATAAACACACATCATCAGAAAACAACAACAACAACAACAAATAAACAGATGTAAACTAAAACAGTGAAATGAGGGCAAAAAAAAAAAGCAACAACAAACAATTCCAATGACTCTTCTTTTTCAGCACAAGTTGATGCCAACACTCCCACCAGTATTACCGCAAGGAGTGAGCTCAAGAAGCACCCGCTTCGCTTCAGCCAAAATTTCCTCCGCTTCAGCGTGCCGTGCGGCAAACATGAGCTCGTCGCTCTCGACATTTTCACACAGTCGCTTGGCATCTTCAAGCCGAATCATCGCCTCGCGCCCATCGCCGTAAAGGTCACCTACAAACGGCACAAACTCACACCTGGCTACATCCATAACGTCGCTCATATTAACACCATCATCATCCGTATCATCTCCGTCCATATTCGTGCCCTTCTCATATTCATCCTCATCATAGTCATCATTGGACTCCTCATCGTGTCTAAGGCGTTTCCGCGTCGCTGATTTTATCGGTGCAATTGAATTAGCAGCCGTTGTTGTGCTCGCCGACAGGGCCACAGGCCCATAATTCTCCTTCTCTTTCCCCTGCTGCTGACGCCCTAGTACGTGATCGGCTTCAAACTCCTCAACTGTAATCTTCCCACGGAATGTTACCCGAGGAGAGCACCCAACCCGCGGCAGGTCCCGTCGGGCAATGTAATACTTCCCGCCGCGCAGCGTATCTAACGGAGAATCCAGCGCCACAGCCCTTGGCTGAACGCAACCGGTGGAGTCACACTCTAACACACTAGTGATGCAGTACTCCTCCGCCAGCTCCTTTAGGGTGATGTCGCCATGGAGTTGAATTGGTGCAAATGCCGGTGTGTGTGCATCCTCGTCACAAAGAAAAAGCGCTACACCAGAAGATGGCTTTGTACTTGCGTCCATGGCCTCTTCTGCCATGTCAGCTCCTATTCCCACAGAATTCAAATATATATATATATCTGTCTATCTATCTAACCATCTATAAAAACACAATATGGAATAGCAAGAGATTGAGTGCACAGCGGCGTGGTGCATGCGTGTCTTTTAAAGGGTGGCGCAAAAATAAAAAATAAATAACAAAACAAAACAAAAAAAGAAAACATTACCGTAATAATGTATGGAATTAAAAGTATCGTGAATACGTCGCCCGCATTTCGGGGCTGCGGGGTGGCTCCGTGGTGAAAGAAAGGGATGACGTTCTTGCAGTGCCCTGCTCGCCCAAAGGTGGTGCCGGTTCCCACGGCACAGAGACCTCGTCATCGTTGTGTTCACCGACCCACTCAAAACTCTGTTCCACAGGTGGCGACGCCACAAAGAGAGCGGTCTGCTCTGTATACGCAACGGGATTGACACCCGGAAGAAAAGACTGCGGGATACGTATGTCTCCATACTTTTCAAATAAATTTACAGCAATTCGCTTTGGGGGCATATTCGTGCGTACCCTACCGACACATGCACACACACACACACACACACAAAACACTGAGGGAGAGGAAGGGATGGTGCTCTAATATAAAGGGATGGGCCACGTATGTATGTGAGTATATATATAAATGTATACGTGCGTGTAGCTGTGGCCTGCGTTCGACCCAATAAACACAAGAAAGAAAATAAAATAAATAACAAAATAATAGAGAAAAGAAAAGAAAAAAAAAGAAGAGAAAATATGAGCACTCAATCTCTTCGCAAGCCAAAAATAAAATTGGAGATTCCAACAGATTGCTCTTACCCTTCATTCTTATTATTATTGCCACTACTAACATGTGTCAGACGTCAATACCAACGTGTGGCAGTCATAAATAGTCACTGGGGTTGCACTTTTGCGTTCCGCCCGCCAACACACAAGCACACGCACGCACAAAGAGACAGAAAAAGGAATTGCAATAAAAAAAACCATGCTACATCCAAAAAGACAATATTTGCGAAGGTCAATGGAGAAAAGAAGAGGACTATTGACAAATACCCCTCCTCCTTACACTCCCACCTTGCTCCACCTTTGATCACGCATGAACTTCTTCTGATGCTGCTGGTGTCTGCGTGGGGGCTGTTTCTTTCCTGCCGGTGTTGTTGCCGTTGTTGTTATCAACGAGGGAGAGACTTGAGGCCAATTCAGCGCTCTTCCGTGCAGACTCCATCAGTTTGTCGCACACGTACTGCGTCGTAAATGCCATTCGTGCCCACTGTTCTGACTTCTCCGGTACCACCACCGATGGCTCCTCCGGATCAATGCGCATAAGCGCAAGCCCAACGTCTCGCCAAAGTTGAACCATCTGAAACGTATAATCCTCGTCACAGCGGCGTTTCTCAACATTCCTGTGGAACGAGAGGGTCCCTTCTGACCCTTCAAATGAGTTTCTCTCAATGCTGAACGTTGGAACATCCTCATCGGTAGGTTTGATCGCACCGTAAACGGTAATGATACCATCATCTCCCTTAATGCGCACCAGCTGCTCGTAAGCTGCATGGTATGTGCAAAAAAAGGTGGCCACCACAGGCTCACCTTCCACCGTAAAGAGAAGTTCACCAGAAAAGGCGGAAATGCCATTTTTTTGGACCGCTGCATTGCGCCACGCGACCCATCACCGCGTCTGGCAAAACGAAGTCCACCATGTGAAGAAAGTAACGCACGCAGTACCAGCCAACGTCCCCCAACGCCCCCATCGGCTCCTGCGCAGGATTTAGGCGAATGTCGCTCTGCAGAAATTCTTCGGATGCCAAAAAGGCAAAGTGTGCCTCCATACGACGCAACTTCCCAATCTCGTGAAGGGCAAGACGAACATCTTGGACGCGACGTCCATGCGACAACATTGTACCGTCCACAAAAAGTAGCCTCTTCGCGGCAAAATGTCGTAACCATTCCTGCAGGACTAAAGAAGACACGGCGGTGGGCTTTTCGCACACCACATGCTTCCGGTGTTTCGCACATTCCAACACCCATTTGTGTCGCGCCGTGACGGGGATGGGGATATACACGACATCCACGTTTGACGACGCCACGACGGTTTCGTAGTCCCCTACCAGAGGTTTTTTTGCAAAGGGAATAAAGGCGTTAAGCTCATCCACAAACTTCTCCCCACGTAACTTGTCGCGACATCCCACAATTGTAATTTCGTGCTTCGCCTCGTGGATGGCTATCCATGTCTCTCGAAGCACCTTTGCGGCGCCAAGAACGCCTATGCGTATTCGCGTTCTTGGAGAAGGTGCCATTATTATTATTATTATTGTGAACACTGCTCTCCCTCTCTCTATATCCCCTCCACACCCTTCCTTTTTTTTTTTTTTTCTGTGTGTGTGTGTGTGTGTCTATCCCCTTCGTGTATTCCACGGGAAAAACAACAAGCAACGGAGCGAGCCAATATGAATATTACAAAGGTTATAGAATCGTGTAAACGATGACATTTGCGTAACATTAATAAAGTTTGACATACATATATATATATATATGTTATTTGCAGGGTAAATATATTTCAAAACGTGAATAAGGAATAAGCCGTTCTGCATTTCTTTCCAAATTCCCCCACCTAAAAATCAAACTGAAGTCATTTTATCATCATTGAAAAAACAATCATATATATATATATATTCTTAGGATCGATCTTTCTTTTCTTTTCTTTCTTTTTTTTTTTTTTTTTTTCTTTTTCTAAAAATGCTTCGTACGTGTACATTGAACCTAAACAGCAAACCGAGCTGCGTATGGGGTGTAACGGCCATTAGAAAATATGTAAACTACTACTAACATAAGGAGAGAAGAAGCCCGTGGAAAGCTTGGATGCAATGCAATTATACAAGTGGCGCGACTTCCACCACCCGGAACGCACAACTGCTGCGGCCATCGACGTGTAGGCACCGTGCGCGTGCTGTCAGGAGATGGTGAGAGCATGTCCTCTTGTTTGAGTTCCACACCGCCAATAATAAAATCGTAATCGGAGTTGTTCAATATACTTAACTCCGTACCGCGCGTGGGAGTTTTCCCATCCAAGTATATATCCAAAGGACACGCGCGACCCATCAAAGGAATATTGTAAAAATTAGTGTAGGGAATTTCTTCTAATGTAGCCGGACGACGCACAAAAGGAGGAACAGGGGCTTCTGATGGAGCCACCTGCTGTTGAGGCTGCCCGACTTGCCGAGAAGCATAATTCTGAGGATTTTGTTGTGCACTCTGTCCCTGTGCCTGCAGTGAAGCATAATTCTGAGGACTTTGTTGTGCACTCTGTCCCTGTGCCTGCAGTGAAGCATAATTCTGAGGACTTTGTTGTGCACTCTGTCCCTGTGCCTGCAGTGAAGCATAGTTCTGAGGACTTTGTTGTGCACTCTGTCCCTGTGCCTGCTGAATCGGTGAGTATGGCTCTGATGCGGTTTGTTGTGGCTGGGATTCGAGTGGCGATGCAGCAAGTGCTGGCAGGTCGCCTTCTCCAGAGCGCTGAGGGATCGGCCATTGCTCGCCTGACACCGTGGCTGCCGGTGTCGCTGAAATATCAGCTGATGCAGATGTGTCCCCGTTTTGTGGTCCACCTGGTTGCACAATTTGTTTCGTTGATCCTGTAGCTGAAGGTGATGATGGGGCCGACTGCTTGTTTTCGGAGCCTGGAACCCTCTCCGTGTTCATCACATTGCTTGCCGCTGCTGATTCCAAGGTCAGGGGCTCCGGCGCTGATTGCTGTTCTCGCTGTTCTTGTTGCTGCTGCTGCTCTGACGGTGGCTGTGGAGGTTGTGCCCATACAGGGACCACCGTTGCCGCCACGGGTGGGTGGTATGTCTCTACAGGGTCCTGAGACGGCTGCACGGAAAGTAGTTCAGCGCCAGTCGTTGTCAGTGCTGCCTGTTCCGACGGTTGTGCGGTGGGTGGCTGAGGTGGCGGTGGGCCACCGAAAAGGTCATCTAACAAATCTACATGTCTGCCACTGTTAGCAGCAGGCAACTGCGGCGTTTTCCTTGGAGGGCTATCATTTCCGAATAGTGCCGCATCCAGACTTTGTTCGGCCACCATGCGGCGTTTATTGTCACGGATAAATGGTAGCTCCTTCGGTGCCTCTTCTGCAAATCCTGCCTCGATACCGGCGGGATATGGCTCAAATTGCAGCCGGTTTAGTGCTAGCACGGTGTGCTTAAGTTGCTCCACCACAGACTCCTTATCGTAAAGCATTCCGGCAAGCTGCTCCCACTGGTCTACGTATTTCTCGGTTCCGCTGTCTTGCTTTTTTTCTAGACTTCCCTCCTCCGTGTTTTTCTTCAAATCTATCAGCACGGCTTCCAGGCTCTCAATCTCGTCCAGGAGCGGAATGACGTCATTCGAGACATCGCGATGAATTTGAAGTGCCTCTAACTTACGCATCTTGGCCTGTGCCGCGGCCAACTGGTCCTCCACCTCGGCAATAAGGGCTTTGGTTTGAATTGTAGGGGCCGTACGAACGGCGGGGAGAATGGGGGCAATGCCGGCCTCGTGGGCAGACTTTGCGTCAATTTCATCTGAAATGTTCTGCCAGTGCTTTAACTCGTCGCGGAGGGCGGTGAGGGCGGCTGAGCCGGAGATCACTTTATCCTTCGCCGCGTACTGGGTGTCATACTCCAGCTGCGCAATCTCCCGCTCCAGCGTTCGGACCTTTTCCTGCAGGTCTCTTTCCTCTGGAAATAGCAGGGCGGTGCGGGCGGCGATCTCCTGCGCCAGATCATTGTCCATCTCCACCACCTCCGTTTCGCTGGGGAAGATGCCAGCCTTTGTGAGGGCCCCCACCGCGCGGACCGGAAGCCGTCCCGATGGCTTAGACGATTGTGTCTCACCACCTTTTCCACTCGCCGCCGCCGAATCGTTCGCACCTCCTGCTGAGGCCGTTTTCAGCGGCGGCGGTGGGGCGGAGGCGGGGTGCATGCGAAATACGACCTCCAGACGCCCCGGTTTGCCATCAATCCTAAACGAGATACTCTTCTTCTCGCACATGGATTCCCCCGCAAGGATGCTGCACATGCCTGCCAGCGGTATCTCAAATCCCGTCAGTTTTGAGGTATGTCTGCGGTTGGTGATGTCGTACACGGAGAAGTCGATCATGCGACGGTCTTTTGGGGAATCAAAGGAAACTTGAAAGCTACGCGCAGAGTTTATTTCCTCTGCCTTACTGAATTCCACCTCGCCGACCGTGGAGCACACGGAAGGATTAGACGTGATTTCCACTCCCTTTCGCGAAATAAGCATGACATAGACACACCCTTGCCGACAAAAAGGGGCGAACAATCGTACTGGGTGAATGGTGACGGTGTACAACGTCATGGCTGCCGTCTACCTCCCCTCCCCTTCCCTCCACGCTCTCTTTTCGTATATATATATATATATATGCGTGGGCTCCCTTCTGATCCCTTTACACAACTCAAGGGATTTTGCTTCTCAGCCCACCGTTCTTTCTTCCTCACCCTGGCTCCTTACCTAATTATTCCACTTTTATTATTTTGTTTTTCTTTCCAAGGAACTCTCGCCAAAGCTAATTAAAGTTTTTCTCGTCACAATGGTAATTTCAACCTTCACTTTATCGCTGGCTGCGGACAGGTGCCAAAATAAATAAATAAATTCAAGCCATAAAAAAAAAAAGGGGACTGACATTAATACAAACACACGTAGATGAAATCCTCTTTTCGTGGAGGCGTGAATAGGCTTCTTAGAGGGAAATAAAAGAAGGTACTTTAGAATTCAAAACATTATGAAGTTACGTATCCAGCCACCGCGGTTCATGCAGCAGTAACAACAGCGGATGATTCAGTTCCCCCTAACCCTTTTCTTATCCCCACTATTCGTTTATCTTTAGTTAGCAAAGCCACAGCCATAATCACAAGGCATTTCCACCTACGCGTGACTGTAATGCCTCCAAGCGACGCCGCACCGCCTCCTTCTTTTTCTCCAGTTCCGAAATGACATTACACGTAGAAAAATCCCCTTTTCCTTCTTCCACCTCACCCTTTTTGTCGACATAATCACCGTTATCGCTGCTCCCACTGTTGCTGTCTGAGACGTTCATCGCGGACGCAGGACGCTTCACAACGGCTTTATTTGTCTCATGAGACGAGGAAGACGGTGCCGAGGGAAGGGACGGTGGGGTGATGTATCCTGGAAGAAGATCCGGTACAAATGTCGCCGATGTTAACAACGGCTTAGAGGCAACACGCCAGCGCAGGCGGACACGCATCGTCCGTGGGTTCCGTGACAAGGGAGGGCTGGTATGCTGACCGCAGACAAAGGTGTCACCCACCACAGAACCAACGTTCTTGATCATTGCGACGTCGCCCAGTACTTCTGTGGGCGCTGTGACAAGAGTGAATCCACGTCCCTGTCGCATTTCAACCTCCTCTGAGAGACGAGGTCTTGTCTCTTGCACGGTCACCGCGGGGGTGAGAGGCACGTCATTAGTGTGACTTTCATTGCTGCAGGCACTCTTCTCATTTCTGTTATTGCGATCCGAGGCATCAGCCTTTTTGGACGCAGCGATCAGCGCTGCCGCCGCCGCCGATGAAGTCTTGCGTGCTGGACGCGTGTCAAAGAAAGAGGACACAAACAGACTTGATGTGCTGACTGCTGGCGCTGTGGCACCATCCTCACTCTTTTTCAAACCTTCTGCTGTTGTAATCTCGGACAACCTTGCGGACTTGGCCTGTTGCACTTCCATCGCAAATGCTTCTGCATCCCAATCAGCAACAAAAACCATTTCGCTCCCATGAATAGGTGCCCCGTGCACCTCCTGTGCAAGCATATGAGGTCTGGCTGCCAACGCGTAGGCGCGGAATCGCGTTCTCTCCTCCTCCGTGAACATTGCTTTCTTCTCTTCACACCACGCTGAAATGGCAGCAAAGTTCATTTGTTCCACAGGGGCCAACACCATATGTTCAATCTCTCCATATGCGTTGCGAACAGCCGATGGAAGGAGTGCGGTACTCCGTGCGGGAAGCAGCACGAGAAGTTGCACAAGTACATCTCCAGGGCCATCATCCCACAGTTTGTCCGTAGTTTCCACCGCGTTCGAATCTGACGTGGCGCCACGGTGCCTCGAATGACTGCGTTTTTTTGCCAACTCCATCAGGGCATCGTACGACAACATGCCGCAGTACTTTCGCAGCAAGTGAAGAGGCGGGGCAGTACCATACGGGTAGTAGCAGCCCCAGTGCTCCACTACCCCTGCACTGTTCTGCAAAGACCATTGCAGCATCGTCCAGTACGCATAGCACTTTGGTGCCAACTCCGTCTCCTCCTTCAGTTGCCTCTGCTTCCGAAAGGTGTCATCGACAAAACCCCAATCGGTGGCGTCTTCCTTGCCATTGTCGACGCACAGACCATCGCCACAAGCGCGCTCGCGACGCATCTCTGCCAGAGAGTCTAGTGCGTAACGGGCGGAGTCAAATTGAATATTGTTGGTGACGGGATCAATAATGGAACGATCACGCGAGATGAAATCGGTGGCGAGTAGCTCCAAAAGGTCGTCCAAGAAACCTTCTTCAATGCGGCAGCCCACCGACGGGAGAAAGTCGTTCCCAAACAGGAGAAGAACAAATACCACATCATGAAGCGCCCGTTCAAACTG